AGGACTTCACTATGACCCTGTATCTGCGGCATTACTGGAAGGACGAGAGGCTGTCCTTCAGCAGCACCAGCAACAAGAGCATGACCTTTGATGGCCGGCTGGTAAAGAAGATCTGGGTCCCCGATGTCTTCTTTGTTCACTCCAAAAGGTCATTCATCCATGACACCACCACCGATAACATCATGCTGCGGGTGTTCCCGGATGGGCACGTGCTGTACAGCATGAGGTGACTGCCGGTGGGGTCATGGTTTCTTTGTCCAGTGCCATTCTAATGTGTGTGGTCAGTCTATTTGGCCCTGAAGAGTTTGTCACTGTGGTTGGGTCTGTGGGCCACATGGGATGATGTAGCCTTCTGATGCCGATAGAACTCTCTAAGATGAAATGGCCATCCTCGTAGCTGGTGACTGCCCTGCCATTGGGGACCTTAAGTCTGGGTTAATAGACTAGATGGGCCTGAATGAGTTGAGGGAGACAATGAACTTCTATGTACCTTCCACTCCTGAGAGCTTATAAATGCTAGTCTATTGGTAATAAAGATTTAAAAACATAACTACTATTTATTGAATGCTGTTGCAGGTTGGCTTCTGGGCTAACTTGAGTGATTGCACAGCCTTATTTATAGCTTCCTGGCTTGCTTGTACAGTTCACCAGAATTAGATGCTAATACCTTTGGGTGGGGGATGGGGAGGGGACATAATCTCCCAGGTATCTCTGGGGGAAGCTAGTTGAGAGCAATGACAAGAGAAGGGTGCAGATGTGAGCCATCAGCAGCCAACACCCTCAGTAGTTAGGATCCAGGCAGAGAGCCAATAACATCTACAGAAAGACAAAAGTTGAGGTTCTGTAACTTAGATACCTGGGTTTCCAAACTTCTGAAATAGACATGAGGAGGCAGCTGCTCTTGGTCGGGTCCACGTTCTCTTTACTCTGAGCAGGTGCATGAGCCAATAACTCACTGCACGAGGCAACATGCGTGTTTGGGTTGTCTAGGATTACGGTCACTGCCATGTGCAACATGGACTTCAGCCACTTTCCCCTGGACTCCCAGACCTGTTCTTTGGAGCTGGAAAGCTGTAAGTATCAATATGCTTAATGACAAATTTTTGCCTCCCTCCTCTCCAATATTTGTACCATTTTAGTAACCATGAGACCTAGTGCTGCCTCCCAGTGTTAAGCACTAAGGACTCTTTTACTCTTAGGCTGGTGTAGGGTTTCCCTGTGGCTTCGCCTTGCATCCGAAGGAAAGGAGTCAAACTGACTTATTTCCTCTCCCCCAAGATGCATATACAGATGAAGATCTGATGCTGTATTGGAAGAATGGGGACGAATCCCTGAAAACAGACGAGAAGATCTCCCTGTCTCAGTTTCTAATTCAGAAATTTCACACCACTTCCAGACTGGCCTTCTATAGCAGCACTGGTAGCTAACTTCTTCTTTTTTTTTTGGTGTTTCTTTTTAAAAAAAATGAATTAATTACTCTTATTTTTTTAATTACACACTACATCCAATATTATTCTGTATCAGTGTCGGGTGTATAGGATAGTGGTTAGATGATCATGCACTTCACAAAGTGGTCTGGTAGCTACTTTTTGCATGGTCTGACTCAAATGTGAAAGAAAACACAGTAGAATTCTTCTTCAGCCTTAACCTTTCCCCTCCTAAAGAAAATACATTCTTCTTGTTAAAATAATTCATAGCCTCCAAAACATAAACAGCACTTAAAAACAGAGAGCAGCCTGACCGGCGTGGCTTAGTGGTTAAGCATCAACCCATGAACCAGGAGATCACGGTTCGATTCCTGGTCAGGACACATGCCTGGGTTGGGGGCTCAACCCTCAGTAGGGGGCGCGCAGGAAGCAGCCAATCAATGACTCTCATCATTGATGTTTCTATCTCTCTCTCCCTCTTCCTTCCTCTCTCTGAAATCAATAAAAACATATTAAAACAAAACAAAACAAAAACAACACACAGAGAATGAAAAAGTTGTTGCCCTCAGAAATTCCATGGCCAGAGGTAAGCATTCCTGATAAGTTAGCAAACACCCTTGCAGACATCTTGCTTTAATTATACAATTTCACAAAAGTGGGGTTATATTTTATATGTTAATCTGTAACCTGATTCATTCAACTTAATGATAGGCACTGAGGCAATGTTTTTATACTTATATTTAGATCTATAGATTTATTTTTAACGCTTGTATAACCTCTTCTTGGACTCTGGGCCATGTTTGAAGTTTTGAGGGGATCCATTTGTCAGCTATTCTCTAATCTCACCATTAGTTCTTGTATTAATGTCTTCGGACTGTCATAACTAATTACCACGAACTGGGCGCTTGTTCCTGCTGAAGGCTCTTGGGAGGACTCCTTGTCTCTCACTAGCTTTTGGTGGTTGCTGCTTCACTTCAGTCTCTGCTTCTGTGGTCACATGGCATTCTCCCTGTCTCTGTGTCTTCACATGATGTTGTCTCTGTATATCTGTCCAAATTTCCCTCTTCTTTAAGGACATTGGTCATTGGATTACAGCCCACCCTAATTCAAGAGGACCTCATCTTACCTTGATTACATGTGCAAATACCCTATTTCAAAATCAGGTCCTAGTCACAGGTATTGAGAGTTAGGACTTCAACATATCTTTTTAGGGGCATAATTCAGCCTACAGCAGCTCTGCAGTGGCTATGAGACCCAAGAGGACTTCTCACGTCATTGGCCATCATCCCAGTGCTGAGAAGCCCAGGCCCTTCCATGAGAAGATTTGGTGCTATTTTCTTTTCTCATCTATTCTTGGCAAGTTCAAATCAACTTTCTTTCTAAAACCATTAAGAGTTTCTTATATAGCTTTTATAACGTGCCACTGTTCTGAGTACTTAATATGAATTAAGCAATTTCTACCCAACAAACCTATGGTATAAATGTTATTACCCTCAGTTTACAGATGAGAAAACTAAGACTTGGAGGAATTAAGGTTAATTGAAGTGACACAGCTGGTAAGTGGCCAGGCTGCCTTATTCACTGTGTGTACTTCTCTGAGATGTCTTCTATGTTGGAATAGTATGCCTGCTTGTTGGTTTTGTCCCCGGTCTGAGCCCTTCTGGAGTCCAGATTAAAATGCATCTTCTTTCTGCTTCTATTATTTACTATGTGCCAACAAGCAGGTTTATCATCCCATCCCACAGGGGCTGTGATCTCACCCAAGAGTGCTCTGTTTGGAACATGGAGTGTACATTTTCAAAGCTTCTGGCCCACTCCTCATGTTTCCAAGGCAACTCTCCCTGGTTTTCTTAGAATAAAAGGGTAATGGAACAGTCCTTCATGGAATAAAAGCAGCTCTCAGCCCTTCCAGAAAGACCCTGTGCAAACCTAGAAAAAAATGTGATTTGCCTCATGGACTCCAGTTTAAGCTGATGAGATTGGACAAAGGCTGTGGGATGAATAAATGATTAGTAGTTTCTGTCACATTTGAAGGTCACTTTCTGTTTATCAACTGCACTGCCTCTTTCAAACCCCCAAACCTACACAGTAATCACATGTCAAATTTGTCCAGATCCTCACTATTGTTCTAGCTTTTTTCTGTTGACCCAGGCCTTCCCTTACTTGACTCAGCACTACCTTCCCAATCCAGCCAGATGGCTTTTGTCACCTCAGGTGCAGCCTGAGGTCTACCTGCATCCAAACCACCAGGGGAGTGTGTGTGACAAGCAGATTTCTGGGCACCATTACAGTTATTAAGTCAGAATCTCAGGTGGTGGAGCCCAGGAATTGGCATGTTTAACATGTGATTCTTATGTACATCCAAGTTCAAAGACCATTTTTTTTAACCAATGTGGTTCTCAGACTGGTGCTCAGACCAGCAGCATCAGGATTACCTGGAAACAGGGGAGGTGGAGCCCAGCAATCTGTTTTAACAAGTCCTCCAGAGATGACATTTACAGATTGCCAGGCCCCATCCCCACCATTTCTCATCAGTAGATCCTGTGTGGGCTCCAAGAATTTGCATTTCTAACTGGTTCCCAGTGATGCTCCTGCTGCTGGTCCAGGAATACCACTTTGAGAACTGTCGCTCTAAGTCAATGTTTCTCAACTTTGGCTGCATATTAGAATTACCTGGGGAACCTTTCTGTTGTTGTTAGCCGGTACTGTTTTTATTGTGGTAAAATACATATAACATAAAATTTACCGTTTTAGTCATTTTTAACTGTGCCGTTTACTGGCATTAAGTACGTCCACAATGTTGTGCAACCATCATCATCATCATCCATCTCCAGAACTTATTCATCATCCCAAACAGAAACTCTGTACTGATTAAATAGTACTCTCCACTCCTCACCCCCATCCCCTGGGAACCTCTATTCTATTTCTGTCTCTACGAATCTGACTATTTCTAGGTACCTCATAAAAGTGAAATCATGTATTTGTCCTTTAGGACTGCCTGTTTCACTTACTGTAATGGTTTCAAGGTTCATCCATGTCGAAGCATGTGTACAAACTCCATGCTCTTCTAAGGCTGAATACTATTGCACTGTATGGCTTACATTTAACCATCCATCCACTGATGGACATTCAGTTGTTCCTGCCTTCCAGTCATTGGGAACAGTGTCTGCTATGAACCCGGGGAACTTTTAAAACATGCCTATGCCTAGGTCCCCATCCCTGATCAATTAAATCAGAATCTCCCTGGGATAGAAGAGGGCTTTGGAGAGTAGGAAAGCCTCACATGCAGCCAGGCTGTCACTGTCCTCAGCCTGCATCGCTCACTCCCGTCTCTGAGCCTCTCCTCTTCCAACATCCACTTGTCCAGCTTACACTCATCTCCTCCATGAGATCTTTCTTGATCATTCCAGCCAATAATATTGAAGTCTCTCTTTTCTAAAACTCACTGCTTCCACAGATGGACAATTTAGCACTTAGATATATGCTGTTCTAGATCTTGAGCACTTCCAGATCTCTCTTTATCCCCTTCAGGCCCTAGCACAGCGCTCACAACTGAAAGCCCTTGGTGGCCACTACTGAATTGAAGGGCTGAGATGGGGGCGTGGTGGGGTGTGCACACAGCTTCAGTTCACTTGACACATTTACACTTCCTTAATACCAACTTTGGTCCCAGTGGTTGGGTAATGATATTGTAGATCTTTTTTACAACCATTAATCAGTGATTCTCAAATTGCCATAATGAAATAGGTAATAGCTATACCCTCATTTTCTCCTGAGAAATTAGCAAAAGGTAAATGACTTGCAAAAGACGAAAGGGGTGACTTCCGCACGGTGGGCGGAGTGTCAGAAGTAGAACTGATGTCAGGCTTCAGAGCCATGTGAGCGACCTATTTCTTCTTGTGATGAATGTGGAGACTGACTGGGCTGCCCAATCTCACAATGAGGACAGTGACAAGAGCCCAGCCCTGCTGGCTCCTGCCTCGGTGGCATTGGCTTCAACAAAATAGAACTAGTCACTCAGGAAAGGTCTTTGTGGTTTGCAAAAATGAACGACTTAACCTAGACCTCTATTTATTTCTACCTTTCCCCCAAAATGCTTCGAAGAGAAGTTAGATAATACTGAGTAAACCAGGGACTGTGCTAGACGCTGGCAAGATATTTATTCATAGGAGAGAGGGCTTAGGTTTTGGAAAGGCAATGCGTTACATGAAGCCAGTTGGTCATTCATGTTTAACTTCCTGCTGAAGATTTGAGCTGTGTCGGGGAAAGAAGGGCTCATGGAGAACGGGGCTGTCTTTGCTGCTCAGCTTGAACTTCACTGGCTTCTTCCTGTGTCCCCCAGGCTGGTACAACCGTCTGTACATTAACTTCACGCTGCGTCGCCACATCTTCTTCTTCCTGCTCCAAACCTATTTCCCTGCCACCCTGATGGTCATGCTGTCCTGGGTGTCCTTCTGGATCGACCGCAGAGCTGTGCCTGCCAGAGTGTCACTGGGTAAAAGCATTGGATAAGGTGTGGTAGGGTGGTTATTTACTTTTCTTTATTATTATTATTTTTTAATCCTCACGGGAGGATATTTTCCCATTGCTTTTCAGAGAGAGTGGAAGGGGGCGATAGAGGGAGAGAAGGAGAAAGAGGGAGAGAGAGGGAGAGACATGGACTGGTTGCCTCCTGCGCGCCCGCTGACCAGGGCCAGGGCCGGAGCCTGCAGGAGGTCCCTGCCCTTGGCTGGACTCGAACCTGGGGCGCTTCAGTCCTGGGCCTGCCGCTCTAACCATTGAGCCAACCCGCCAGGGCAACCTATGTATTTTTCAACTGATCGCCATGTAAAGAAAAAGTAAAATCATTGCCCAAAGTTCTTAAGCGATGCGCTGCCAGAGTCAAAGGAGCAGACGCGGCTCCTGTTTCTGGCCTTCGCTCCCAGCCGCCCTCCGTTTCCTGGAAACACTATGAAAACCTTAGGGGAGCGAAAGCGGCATCCACCCCGCCCGAGTCATTTCAGAGACGGCGCCTCCTCGGGGTGTGGGGTGTGGACCCCACCGCGGCAGCATTAGCGCTCGGCGCACTGACAGGAGAAAACCCCACAGATGCCGGGGCTTACTCTGCGGACACACAGCCGCGGTTGGGGGATTCGGGGGCCGGGCCCCGGC